CCATATATTTAACATTATAAAATTATAGTATTATTTTATCTATAGGTATGAAAGTGATATCTAACGATTTGATTTTTATTTTATATATATACTCTAAGTTTTTATTTTTACAATATTTTTTTGTATCTTGAGTTTTTTTATTATATCAAATATTGTGGATTTATGGTAAGTATTTTGATGTTAACATTTCATCCATATAACGATGTGATTCTATAAATTTCTATAATTTCTCGGGAATTTAGTTTTAAAATTCCCGGGAACAATAAACAATCCGGGAAAAGAAACCTACTAGTGCATTGAATCATTTTCAAATTACTTTTAGATGTATTCCAATATTTGTGTTATTGTCAAATCATCGAAGATTCCAAACACATTCCGACATACAAACTAATTAAGTGAACACACATTGTTTGCAAGTTGTAAACAAGCATATGTTAGAACTAAACTAATATAACCAAGAAGTAAGAAACAAATAATACGTGATTATTTGCTTGCGTCGTCTTCGAGAATTAACCTTGCCTTGTTGGAAGGACTAATAAAATGAAAGCTCCATCGATTGTTCTTGATAAGTAAGTATATCTTCTGGGCATTCCCGTTTTCCTCGAACATTACGTCTTCTATATATATATTGAATCAATTCCAATTATTATTATGTTTGCGGATGTAATAATGCTTGTATTTGTGTATGGATGTATGTATATATATAGAAGTTTGTGTGTGTTTGTGAGTGTGTTTGAAGCACAAGCGAGGAAACTCGAGATGGCATTATGTACTTTCGTATAGCTTTCGGAAGAGAAGTTTCGCTTTCACAATGCCAATTTTATTGGCCTTTATTTCTCCTCTATTATTGTGTGTGTGTGTAGTCCTGGTCCTCCACCGAACACAGGGACAAACTACGTTCTAACAACGGAATTTCTTTGATAAATATAAACCTAGAGTATAGTAGAAAGAGAAAATATCCAGGCTGTCGCAAATATTTTCCAAGTAATTAATTTCCGAACGTTTGTTCCTAGCTCTGTATACTTCGACCGGTCAAATAAGCTGGGTTTATTAGTGTTTAGCATATTTAGTGTGTTTCGTGGATAGAATAATTTGACTTCGAGTGATTAATACACCCCAGCAAGAAAGAGAAAACCAATAGTCTCTGCATGTAAAGCAATGGCTGCTTCCTCTTTTTTTTTGTAGCACGTTTCCTTTTATTATCCTTCGGCGAGAGGAATTAAATAGAACGTCGCCATTAAATAGCTGAAGTGGTCGGGCGATGATGATAAAAGCAGCTTTAATGTCCTGTTTCTTGCACATCCATCGATCGTGAATGGAAATACGCATTCTTACTAAAGCTTACATAAAAACTGAAGAAGTAAAAGTGTATTTAATTCGAAAGTCGAACGTCAATAAATTCCGTTAATTACAACCTTTTATGCATATTCTCAAAAACTTTGCACGCAAAAGTTCCAGATAATTAGCGAAGAAAAAAAACATATTTGTTGCACGTTTAAAGCAAGTATTATTTTTTTTTCGGTCGAAGTTTGCTACGAATTTCGCCGCTTCAACACATTTACTTTTATTTTTCGCATCATTAAAAAAAGCACAGCAATCAATCAAAATCCTCGCCAGTCTGCAACCCTCATCATTTTTAAATGCATCTCATCCACCTCATGCCAATGAGAATATAATGATAATAATTCGAAGCTATTTGCATAAACTGATTTATAATTACAGTTTTTGTTGACAAATATACATATTACTATATAAGATATATTTGAATACTAGATTTATGGACACGTCAATTTAAAGTATTGTCAGTTATTGCCAATAAACTGTAATAAATAAATACAATTTTAGAAAAATCTATTTATATACAATAAATGTATGTTATACAATACAAGAATCAGATTGAAACTTTAGTAATATTTACTAACCCAAATATACAATATTTTAATACAAATTTTCAAAACTCCTCATAGCTAATATTAAAATCATGAAGATAAAGTTAAAAATTAAATATAAAAAATAGGATTCAGGAAATATTTAGTACTTCTATTTGAAGAAGAAAATTGTAATATACATAAAAAAAAAATGTTGTTCAATCGGTAGACTAATTTGTTTCATATTAAGAGACATACATATTAACAAATTGAAATATTCATATGAGCAGTGGGGGATATCCATTAAGGCAATTATTTATGTGCTGAGGAGCCCCTGGCTTTGGGTGTCTAATATATTTTTCTATAATATTTTGAAATAATAATTTTTGGGGATACCACTGTCTAGTGCCCCAAACTATTCTTAATCTGACACTAAATATGAGTCATTAATTTGTATTATGAATATTTTTATTACGATTTGAAAAACAAAAACATATATATATTTGCAGTATATTCAAATTTAACCGTTTAAAAACCGTTTATAATTCTAATAATACAAATAGATGTTTCCATCCTTGCCTTCAGTATTTAATTATTAGAATTATATAATCATATATTAGTTGTTTCATAATAAACTCCTATTTAAATATCTTCACTGTATGTATGTGATATGTTTATTAGTTCCAGAAACTTTGTTACATATTTTGCAAGACATGAAAATGAGGTCTAAAAAAAAAGTTCCGAGAGTAGTAGTGAAGTACTTACATAATTAGAAAGATTTAATCTACACCACTTTTGATTCTACATTTTCATATTTAATATATTTTAATAAACTATTTTAAAAAGTATAAGAATTGCAGTAAAACTAATATAGCTTTTGGGCCACATTATAACAATTTTCTTTTAAGTTATTTCATTAAATTGCAATTTTTTGACATTTTCTTTGTAAAAAGTACTAATTTCTTTATAATTCTGCAAATATTCTTTTTATCGTAAATTTGTTTTCATTAATCTTTATAAACCAAGCTTCAAAATTAAAATATTTATATAAAGTTATTACAAAGTTGAAAGTTTTTCAATAGAAACGTATATAATATTTATTTGCATGTTTATATAAATAAATTACTCTCATTTATTAATTATGTAATAACTTGCAATATATTCGATATTTGCAGATAATATTTTTTTTCAAATCAATTTGAATTTATATTTAAAATTACTGTTCTAAATAGATTCACATCAATTTATATTTTTATGTAATACTTCAGTAAAAGTATTAATTAAAAAAACACTTCTAGTAATAATAATTATTAAGTGGATTACTTATATAATATAACAGCGTGTATTTCAAGACAAGTGTTTTTCATCTCCTGGAATCTCCCATTTGTCCTGTCCTTGTTTGGGCGCTACAGACAAAATCCTCTTAGAGGGCCTACGTCTCTATAGGATCTCACAGAAGAAATCCCAAAAGAGCCGGAGCACACAAAAAAAAGGTGAATGAAATAAAATTTAAAGATTCCAGAGGCCGTGTCTGGCATCCTGTAAATCCAATATCGGACCTCTAACCTGTCGTTTATCTATCCAGCTACCCCTTTTATCAGCTTTGGTTTTTTGGGTGAGTTGTAGTAGGATCGCTAATTTGGTCGTAACCAAAACGACGCAATAAAGACAATTATTTTCCAACCAACTTTGTACATCCTTTCTGTAAATATTATTACAAGCAATTAAAGTAAATATTAGACTTCATATAAATACTAAGAGCGATCTCGGCGAAAGTTGTTGGAAATTTTCCGCACTGAACATTCTAAACTGCATCCAACTTTCCCATTGATTTTCCGTTTCACGAATATACTGTATATTGGGTGTGTTATCTATTTGCATATCCGCATGTTTTTGCCGAGCATAGCATCAGCATGAAATTAGTTATATCTTTACATTATTAACCAAACACACAGAGTTTTTGTATCCAATTTATGATCTAATCTACTTATACATATTATATTATTTATATAAATATTGTATTATAATAAATACTAAACCAAACCCATTCAGTTTACATTGATTTACTATAAATTTAAATGTAATTTATCTACTTTTTTGTAGTCACTTTTTCTTATAAAAATCCAAATATTAATATACAAAAGCAATTATTATTTATTTAATATCAATAATTTTAACTAATTTATAAAAATAACTATGATGCCGCGGCGGATATATACGCCCAAACATTTGTACAAAAACTATGCTTATGCAAAATTGTATACATATCCATTGAGAAAGCACAGTCATCGAATCTTAGTTCATAACGAGGCGTTACTAATCTTTTTCATATGGAACTATCATGTTCTTGATGAAGCTTTGACTTAAGTTCATTAGAGGCGCTACTTAAGTTATCAAAACCGCTAGGTGAGTTTAGATTCTAACCCTGCTCCAACAGATAAGTTCTAAACGTTATTTGAAAAGCATTTCATAAATGAAAGTAAATATTAATGGTGAAAAATAGCACAAAATATGAATTAAAAAAGCAATTTTACTACTGTTTTATCTATAGAAAAAAACGTAATATTTTTCATGTTTAACTGAAATTCAATATAGATGGTATAATAAAGAAACATTTATCTTGAATAATATCGAGGATTATCGTTCTGAACTGTACATACACATTGTTCATATTTATGGATAACAGCTTCCGAAAGTACATAGGTACATTGTGGATCGTCGGAGGGGAAATTAAAAACATTAAAGAGAGAGAGAGAGAGAGAGAGAGAGAGGAAAGCCGACGATCCCCAATTTTCTTGGTGAACGACCTGAACCAGTTCCCCGGTTCGACCTAAAAATTTCCCACCAGGATTTCATTATACACTCTCGTTTATTTTTTTCTTCCTCATCCCTGTGCGGTGGGTTTAGAATCAAAAAGCGGCGGCTGCGAGATAAGCGCGTGCAAGGGATTTTATTGCCTTCACCGAAAAACCCCCCATAGATACACGAAGAAAAGAAACAAGCACAGAAAAATAACATCTATATCTGTATAAATGTATTTTATACTCAATTGGGATTCCAGATTTTATTGTCTAGATAATGTCCTTGCGTGGCGCAAATAAAAATAGAATAGACAGGTAAAAGTAGGCTCACCGCTTCCGTGTGTATGGGGTGAATGGCGAAGAGTAGTCCTGCGAGGGTTGCAAAAGGCGGCTTCAGATTTGCAACGCTGAGGCAGACACGTGTGAACAGTAGACAGGATATGGCGTGTAGCAGCACGTTCGTCATGTGGAATCCTAGAGGTTCCATCCCGAAGCACAAGTAATTAGCCCTGAAAAGACAAGAGAAAACATAGTAATTACATTAAATAGTTTAGAAAATTTCAATTATTAGAAAATATACAACTACATTTTTTTTTAAAGAATAATACGAGTTATATATTGAACAACTCGTATATATTAATAAAAATAAAATAAAAATTACAAACTTTTACAATTATTTTACAATATTTTAATATTCAGAACTTGGATTTAAATTTTATTGAAGAACCATAAGTATTTAGCCTAGAAAAAGACAAAATTTTGCTATGAAAAAACATTTTCATAAATATTGTTAATTATTATTTTTACTATCTGTTCATTTGTTTTTATTTTTAGAAATTGGATCAAAATTGTTCAGCAGAGGATACTGGTCCTCTCGGTATAATTAATGCTGATGATAATGGACACAGATTATGTGAGTATAGTCTCATGGGATGAAAGTGCGAGGTGAATTAAAAAGTTTATTAATAACAACAGATTTTTTAACTCAAGCTTAGATTAATCTCATGAAATATATATTATTAGTAATAATAATATTATCTATTAATTGTCTATCAACCAAAATGTTTTTATTTATTTTTTTAGTTAATTTTGGTGTATTTCTTTCGGAAACTTTTCTACTAGAATTTCATTCAATTAGTCTCAAAATGATACCATCATCCATCCAAGTACTATCCCCATTACAAATTGATTTTATTTTGTAAATTATATATATTCACTTAATTATTAAAATAAATCATTGTTTTTATAGACAATATTTAGCAAGTTGAATGAACATTTTTATTTGAGTTATGTACAATAATACTGAATGATATTAATTTATAGAAATTGTTTTTTTATAGTGAAATTTTATTGTATTTAGATTAAATATGAAAATTAGGTAAATACAAATGATAAAATGTAAGATAAATTATATAAGAGTCAATGTTTCGTGCCATAACAGACAACACGTACATAGAAAACCAAAAGGCTTTTCTATAAAATATAAAGAAGGAACAAAGCTGATTTATATAAAAAAAATAATTGAAGATCTGGAAACATTTTTTTACATTTTATTTGAAGTCATTAAAATTTGAAAATGAATGACTTGTTGTATTATTAAATTTACAAATAAGTCCTATATAAAATAATTTAATGAATCAAAATAATATTTGCAGTTGTTATATAATTTATTTGTTATAATCTTTATTTTACAATTTACAAACAAATTAGTCTCACCAACTGTAATGGGAGTCAAACAAATAATACAACTAGGCTTGAATGAATTGGAAGCAAAAAAATATGCTCTTTTCATTCACGCTGAATATCGCATTCACGATTTTCACAAATTGGTGAAACGGAGTGTACGATATTAGTAGGACGAGTTGCATAGGGATAACGTCCTAATAGGATTGCATCCACACGTGCGGATGTGTTCACGCGAAGGGCTGTTGGAATAAGAGGGATTCAATAAAATTGGTGAAAAGGGAACTGAAAGAGAATGAGAGAGAGAGACATTTAAAAGCTTGTGCGAACTAAAAGCTCGCGTAAATCAAGCTGGAAAAGAAGAGAAAAAAAAATAAATCTGCGAAAAAATGCGGAGGAAGTTTTCAAAACTTGCGTTCTGCTAATTAATCGATTTTTTTGCACGCCGGAAAAAAGCATCCTTGAAGCTCACTAAAAGTTCTCGAGAAGCATTAAACGCTCCTTAATTATTTTCGCCGCGGACAAATCGCTGTTTAAGTTGTCGGATTAGCTGGGCAATTTGAAGTGTAAGGGAGGGGAAAAAAATATGAAAGAAAAACCAAGAGATGTGAGAAGGGGGAATTAAATGCAGCTCGCGGTTGGGTGGATTAGGGGTATGAAATAGAGGGGTTGGTATTAAGGGTTAGTGTAATGTCATTCGCACGTGCCAAATGGCAGGAAGAAAGTCTAAAGCTTGCAGCATAAACTGGAGTTGAGCCAACGGGCTTAATAGTTTATTAAACAAATAGTAGCAATAAATGGGAATGCATGTATTTGCTAAAGGCATAAACTAAAGTACACATGTTTAACGAGAGATGGCGGTGATTTTAACCGGAATGTCAATCGAGCAGTGTTTTATTGCTGAACAAACAACTGTAGCAAAATGTATTGCAGCTCATTAACTTTCACGCATACCTTTTAATTAATAAGCAATATCGAAAGGGATTCGGGAAATGGTAGATGCAGCCCTACGGCCTTTCCATTAACTGTCACTTCCTGACCTGCAGGCTTCCCGCGGGATAATAATGCTCGTTCCAAAACCGCGCTCCTCGACCTCAAACCAATTCCGATCCCACCAATAACTACTAATGGAACGCGCCGCAAACCGCCCCCATGCCACCGCCACTACCACCCCTATACTAAAACCTTACCCACCTCCTCCTCCTCCTAATCCACCCCTAAATAGATACATCTATATTTTAGTAGTCCTGGCGCACTCTAGATAATAACGCAATTCATTCATCGTTAAGAATTAAAGTTCATCTTGGCTCGGTCCATTAAACTCGGCAACAGACCCAACCCAATTAGACAACTTATTTGCGCGATCTGCTTCCAACTGCACAGCAAACATTGCGCTACATCAAAAACAACTCAGAACTTTGTTGCGAGCATTGTATATCAATTTACAAAGACACTTTAGATCTTCCAGTTAATCACAACTATTTTCACAATTTGATCTTCTATAAAAAAAGAGATTGAAAAAAAATGTTCTAAAATATTAATTATTGATCTAAAATTGTCCAATAAAAAGATTAATAAATTATTGGAAAACTTGACAACTGTAATTGATTGTCTTATAGTATTACTGGTAACAAATTGAATAATGTTAAAACATTTAATATGTTAATGTTACTTGCAAAAGTATATGTCAAACTTAAAGTACTTTCATTAACTTCTATAGAAAGCTTGTTTATACACCTTTATTTTTTATGTCAAATATTTTTATTTTATAAATTATTTTGTTATTTAAAAAATATTTATCAATTAAAATAAAACTTTTACAAGTTAATGTGGAATATTTAAATAGATTTTTTTTTCAGAAGAAGAAATATAATATCTTAATAGGTATAAGTTTAAAACAACATTCATATATGTATAAAGAGGATACTAAAATGTTATTATAGAGTGAAATAATTTTATTATGATTTTATACTTAGGTTTTATTTATTTATTATTGTGTAACTGCTGCATTAAATTATCATTATGATAGTTTCATTTAGGTTATATTCTAGAACATATTCTAAAAACATAATTTGAAAATGAACTGAATATTAGACTCGTCATGATACAGCGCAACGAGGCGTGTTATGTTATTGCGTAATATGCAAATTTGTCGGTTATATAGAGAATTAACATGGCGCTGAACGCATAAGTTTAGCAGATGAATTTGATGAATTCTGTTGAAAACTCGTTTTCCATTTGGCTCAAAGAAAATTGAATGCATCGACCGACAAGTAAAACGTGTTCATAATATGACGGAATGCCAGACAAGTGATAAAAGTAAGTGTGCATTTTACGGGACGAAATAAAACGTTCTCGTTGTACATACATATATATAAAAAACAATGAATTGAAATCATAGATATAAAAGCATGTTATGCACAAATTAAATGCAATAAAGCAACGAGAACAAAAACCGTACTGAAATGAAAATGGAAACTTATATTATAATAGTTTCTTGTTATTATAGTTATTAAATTTATGTTTTTTATGGATCACTTAAGGAAATGCTTCTTAATTAATTAGAAGCAATTATGAAGATAAAATATTTTTTTACTTCTCTTAAATAATAATATTTTTTATGCCCAATCAATTTGAAAAATTAATTTAGTCAGTTGACAACTTATTTATTACGCCATCTTTCGGTGTGCTTTGAAAACATTTTTATTAAATATCATGAATATATAGTATAAATACTTGAGACTCGTTGACGTGTAAGGCAATTCTCTAGATAATTGGAATCAGGAAAACGTTGGAGGGTCTTAAAAAATAATAAAATAAATAAAAAAATCGTTTGCGAGTATAGAATTACTGATAGGTTCTTAGGTGATTAAAACAGACCTTTAGAAATTTTATATGGAGTTTTTGAAACGGGAGAATGCGTTTAGTAACATCATCCGAGACGCCTTTTACGGCAGTCTGCAGTTTTTACAACCGACCTCTTATATAATTCAGCAAAAGGATAAAACGGACCACAACGTATATATATATATATATATATAAGCTCGACACGTATGATTTAAGTCTGGAGGGCAATAATAAGCGGTTGGAATGGACGGACACGGTAGTAGAAGCTAGTTATTAGAAATAGGGTTCCAACATGGAATGTGATTAAAGGAAGGCCGACGCGATACTTGGAATTCGAGATGTTTCGCTGGAAATGAAGTGGAAAATATATTTGTTTTATTTATCCGTGAGCTTCGGGAAAATTGAGTCATTACGGCTCAAGCGTTGCGTTTTTGTTAATTGGTGTCTCGAGAGACTGAAATAATGATTGTCTCCAACGTAAATTGATAAACTGTAGAAACTATGTCTTCAAGATCAGCTCGATGCGATAACTACAGTAAATCGTTAAAGCCATCTTTGTTTTACTTTTTTCAGTAATTACCTGTAATTGGCGCTGAAGGTTCATGTGTAGCTCAGATTAAATTAAGGATTTCAACGTGCACCTAGCTTATTTTATACCTCTGAAATGCACAATGCCATAATAGTTGATCCATTTTATTTATAGTCCAGTGACTGTGGAAGAAATAGAAGAAGAATGAAACATGTGTTGTTTGTTTGGGACAGATTGATTAACTCCAACTTTTTGCTAACTTGATTTACGTCAGCTTTTAGCTCGCAAGCTTTTAAATGTTTCCCCTCTCTTAATTATATTAAATCCCACTGTCTGACTATCACACATAGAAAATCCCATTACAGGAAGGCTCGTATCTGCTGAATGTTATGATAAATTCATTAGATGCTGAATATACTAGAGTTTCTCTGAAACTAAACTACAGCTGCA